CCGGCTACCCCACCAGATTCGTGCAATGCTGCGTAGACAGCGGTGTTCAAACACCGACAGTCTGTCTTTATCTTGTTTTCTTAATGGCCAAGTTTCTGCACCGTATAGCAGGACTGGCCGAACTGTCGCGGCATACACTCGACCCTTCACAGACAGCCGGACCCAACCATAAGCAAACATTAACTAAAAAGTCAAACAGTCCCGCATCTAAATATCAATTGACAGTGTACAGCAACAAATGAGTAATACTAGAAGATGATGATCGTGTGAAGGATGAACAATAACTGGAAAGCTCACTCGATGAACAATGTGATTACCAGAAAAATCAACTTACTTGAGCGAGTAGGTCCACTCGAAGCAGAAATGGACAGTGAATTGAGACGTGAAACCCCACCCAAACGCTCGGCCGAACAGAATGGCCGCACTTTACTTGCCAAGAAAGAGTGCCCCATTGCCAGAGAGGATTGATTGGACTTTTCAATTCCACTGTAAGATTGATCAAACGTTAGGGATTCATCGCATGCACTTAACTCGACCTCGGTTGAGTGTGAATCTGGGTTTACGCTAGTAGCTAAAGGTGCAAGCTTTTTTGGAAGTTCGCCCAAAGAATCCTGCGGGGTGCTCTCTATTTGACCGGATGCTTTAGTGACAGACGATGTGGTGTTTAAGTTGGAAGCTGGTAGTGAAGTGGCCAGAGTTTCCTGATTCGGTACAGGACTGACCATTGGTGCAGATATTGGGGAATTCACCTCCGCATCATTAGGCGTTTTGACGAAAGGTAACCGTTTTTTCTGAGCACCAGATCGCGCGATTTCGAATGTCTTATCGGATGGTTTAATTGTACTATTAGTCTGAGGCGTTTTCAGCAACTCTTCTGGAAGCGCAGATAGTGGTAGTTCACCGTCCAAGTTAGTTTCTGAACCCGCAGCTTCGACAGCGGGCTTTGGAGAGAATGGGACAATAAAAAATTAAGGCTAGAGCATTATATTGACAATTGATAATAACCAATGAATCATAAGCTATATGCAGATAT